TTTTTTTAAATGGACATTTATAAAATATCGTTAAAATTGTGCCATCTGTAATGGAAACGCAACTATTGTTAATTATCATTCACACAGGTCTCCGGAAACCACTAAAAATTGTATTATGCATGCCAGGCCAATAGTTGGTGACAACTTTGCAACGAAACCCCAAGCATCTGCGCACATACCTATAAGACTGATCATGTAATGCTAATGATTTCATTTTCAGAAGTTCATGGTTTTTGTAGTGTACACAGAGCCATAACACAGCCAACAATACTGCTATGGTCCGTCAAGATGATTATTCTTGCTTTGACCGGGAAACTATTTGTGTCAAGTGGACAGTGGTGATAGTGTGTGTGTGAGACTACCATTAGGGTGTGACTAGAGATTGAAGTTACCCACCTCAATGTCCCGAGTTCTCTCTCTAACTAATGTCTCTTATTTCTCAGAGATTAACCGGCAAGAGTCCAGACAGTCTAGAGGAGCTGCGTGAAATAGCCTTTGATTCTGAAGACGAGGAGGAAGAACAACAGGAAGAATATCCGGAGGAACAACATAGAGATGAGAGCGACGCTGATGAGAGCCAGGACCATGTTGAACTGAGCACAGAACAGTCGCATGACCATAATGTGCCACAAGGATAAAACCACAACAGAAGAGAGTTGAAATTATGCCACATGAAAAATAATGAACTGAAAAGAACCATTATGGACTCCCCATAAGTTTCTTTGCCTTTGAGAACACATGCACCTTTGTTTTAATACTTTTACCCTTGCTGTAAATGAGCTTTCATTTTCAGTACCTGTAGTTAATGTGCATGTTCACTGCCAGTGTACAAATGTAAAATTGAATGCATACAATGGAAATAAACTCATATTTTGTACACATGCTTTTTTAATGGTTTACCTAACATGTGACCACTTTTAGTGTAAGTGCGGCCCTTCAGCTCATCTTCCTCATGCAAAGCATCTTTCATTGAGTTCTGCTGGAATCCTAAAACCTTGAGAAGCTCCTGAGCATAGTTTAATGGCCATTTCTCCCAGTCCAGACTTGCCAGTTTCTCCAGACTGGACTGCAGGGCCTCCGAGTCCTTGAGGTGGCAGATGATCGGGATGTTGTGGCAACAGAGGATGTTGAGCAGGTAGCAGCTCCAGCGCTGTGATGTAAAGGAGAGTTTGCTGGTTGGAGATACAAACTCCAGCAAGGTGTCAGGGAGCCCAAGTGCTTGTGCCTTGTCTTGGTTGGCGACGTGGAGGTAGCAGATTGCACTGAGGCCTTCAAGAAGTTGAATGATGTGCTGATCTGTAAGGTCAGGTGTTTTCAGGAGTTCCACCATGCTTGCCATGTACTTGTCTGCTGCTTGAGCTGCATGTTCATAACCTCCTAAAAGAGTTTAAATAATTAGTAGGGTCTATAACGGTAGAAGCCCTTGATGTGTGTCACTTGACATATGGACTGTTTTTGCTCTCTTCCATCAAAGATAATGCTTCCAAACAAGGCCATAGCAGAACTGTTGTGCTTGGGAGCATAGATGTGGTGTTTCATTACTAAATCTAATAGCGTAATGAGCTGGCGAAGTGGTTTTGCATATTGTAGTGTTTACGACCGTAATCATGAGCATTGTCACGTTCGAGGCAGACGTCAGTAGACCAGGGGTGTACTTTAGAAAGCGGTTTTGTTGTTAACCCCAGAAAAGGGAAACGCAGGGATTTCGGTTCCAATAAAAGACCAAACTAAATCTCGGGAGCAGGTTTTCTTCGGTAAAACCAGTTTCTTTGGGTCTCCTCCCCCTTTTTAAAGCGTAAGCGATTGTTTAAATACCTCAATCATTCATTAATGCTGCAAAAATGCTTTTTTGCCTGATTTCAAGTAATGTTACAAAAAATAAAAAAATTCTTAAACATCTTCATGGAACATGATCTTTACTTCATATCCTAATGATTTTTGGTACAAAAGAAAAATCGATAATTTTGACCAATACAATGTACCTATGTTGTGTGTATTTTTATTTATTTATATATATATATATATATATATATACCCTTGCTACTTATTACTGGTTTTGTGGTCCAGGGTCACAAATGTAGTACGTTACATACCACAGCCGTTGGTAGCTACCGCTAGACAGTAACGTTACTCGATACGCAGCTAATCACTTGCTTTGTTTTGAACGCATTGTTTGTAGTGATGGGAAGTTCGGTTCTTTTCCGCGAACCGGTTCTTTCGGACAGTTCGATTAAATAAACCGGTTGAAAAAACCGGTTCACCGGTTCTTTTACGCTCGACGTAATGACGTCATTGGCGATGACGTAATGGCGTTAAGTCTATCGCGGGCTTAACACATTCAAATATAAAGTAAGTAATCATAACATCAGTCAATTAAAACATCATTATAATCTGATACGTTTCTTACAATTTGGATTTTTGTATCTAACGCATCAACACATATACAGGCAGTGATCTGCAAACTAGGATGTTTTACAGTTATGACGTCAATAAATTAGTCTTCATCAGCGCAGAAACTATGCTCCACTTACTATGTATAATCCATTACGGTTTATTTGTAATTAAGTAAATTTACGTTTCGCCGGATTGCCCTTCATTAAAGTCTTCGGTTTACCCGCGCTCATAACATTAGCACAGAATCAGTTGTCCAAAAGAACCAGTTCGGTTCAGACGTGCTGTGTCAGTCATAGTAGGCAATCTGTTCGGTAGCTTCACGCTGAATCACGCATGCGCAGTATCATCAGCTCATCGGTT